GATCTCTCCTAACAGCCTGGAAAGGAAAAAACAAAAAATTGTTCATTTAATGTTGAAGTTCGTGAACTAAGGAGTGATACAAACATCCCAGAGGGCAGGGAAATCACCCGATGGAATTCGAGAGGTTAACAGCAAAGTCATTTTAAGCAGAAAAGGAAGCTGATTCATAAGCAGTGAGGAGGGAAAAAAAAAAAAAAAGGGATTGTCACCTTCAGCTCCCATCATACTATTAATGGTGAAACAGATGCCAGTGGTTCATACCTGTAATTTGTCCTTGCTCTTTCAAATATTGGTTCCAAAAGCAAGGAAAAAAAAAAAGAAAGGAAAAAACAAAACAAGACACAAACACAAAAAAATTGAAGGTGTTTATGTACAGTTCTGCATACCAGGGGCCTGATCCTGTAAAAAATGCCAGGAGCTTTCCCTCTCAGTTGGCTTCCTGGCGTGTGGGAGGCACCTGCTCTGTGTTCCTGCTCCCTGGGAAGGAACAGCAGCCTTATCGCCAAGGAGAGGAGCGAGCACTGGCTGCACAGGACGTGGCACCCCTGCAAGATAAGGCTGTGGCACCAGGGTTGTTAAGCAGCACACAGTTTTCCCCAATGTCCTGTACAGCCAGAAAAATCCCAGTCCTAGGCTTAAAGCTCTGGCAGAACATTTCTCATCAGTTCCAACTCCTTTGCTTCAGGAGAAACTGCAGGATCTCACCCTCATCCTGCAGTGCTCCATTCCCACAGGTTAGAGGTTCTCTAGACGTTCACAGATCTAGCCATTCTAAAGCCAGAGCACAGCACAGGGATTATGTACCTGATAATCCCACGCAGTAACTTCTCCTTCAGCTCTGCGAGTGGGATTTGTGGGCAGAATATACTTTTTTAAGTTTCAACCTCATGTAACCTTAAAGACACAGCCCTAAACGAATCAGAAGGGATTGAAGGATTGATTAAATTTGCAGTTGACAAGTCCACTCTGTTGTTTGCCTAAATGCATCACCTACCACCTCTACCATCCTAAATCTCCCAGAATTTCTCATTCCTGTCAAACCTGGGAGTGTCTTTGGGCTAAGTGTGATGAATTTACCAGGTCTTCCAGCCTAAAATTTGAGTCCCAGGTACATGATCATTTTTGTAGCTCTTTTTTGACTCCCTTCCCATCTTGCCTAATAAAGAAATGTGAGTGGATTTGCGCACTCCTTGCACAAACCCAGTTTTTCTTATTATTGCTCTGAAGAATTTTAAGCAAAGGAATGAGAAAAGCTAAAGAAGAAACTGCACAAAGCAGAAAGGAGCGAGCAATTTAAAATATGTCAATCGATCAACCAGAACTCATTAGTTAATGCAGTTGTTAACTGTTGTGCCTGCATAAAATCTCCCTCCAAAATATAGCTTTATTTCACCTGCTCAGTACTTATGTTCCCTAAAGTGGCTGTTAATTATAAAGCTGCCATCACACAGTTATTTAGGGTTGAAAACCACCTGTACAATTAAAGCACTCCTTGAAGACGCATGGGTGATGAGCAGCAGATCCTGTGGTATCCAAATCATTTTCTAGTCTTTCATTCAATACCAGAGGAAATAAAAGGTTATTTTTATCATGTCGTTCCTGTTGAATGCACGGCACGGAATTACGCAATTTACCCTTGAACAGCTAAAAATCAGATATATTAAAAAAACCAAGAAACAAACTACCAGCATAGACTGTTTCCAGTGATTGATGCTGGAATAATTTTATTTCAAATCTATTGCACATTTTAATATTCACGGTGTTTGTTTGCTTTCGGGGCTTTCCTCAGCTCGGACAGTGGAAACACGTTCATCTGTTTCTTTCTTGGCTTCCAGTCGGTTTCACTTTCAGATTCTCACGTTTCACACTCCAAGCCTTCAGGTTTCAAGCACTGCAAGGGATACTCATTTCATTTAAACAAACAAAAAACCTGCGGCCGCCGGGAGCACACACACACAACGTGTCTGTCGGTCTGCAAGGCTTGAGCCCATCCTGAACACCGAAGCATCTTCACGATGGTTCTCTGGGCTTTGCAGAGAGAAGAAATTAAATAAATAGGAGCGATGACGAAATACGGATCTATTAAAAAAAAAAAAAATAACCAAACAAGAGTTTTGCAACGCTCTCGGACTGCCCCCAATAAAGCATCATTACATATCGCCGATTGCGTGATTAATGTCGGATTAATGATGAGGAGCCGCGGCACCGGACTGGACGCCCTGAAGGAGTGTCCCAAGCCCTAAATAGTGACGGCGGCATTGCCACCCGGCGGCTGCGGTGGGGTCTGGGAGCAGGACAGCCCCTTTCCCGCGGGGCCGCGGGGCTGGGAAGGCGGTGGGGCTGTCCCGGGAGCGCGGATGTCCCGGGAGCGCGGATTTCCCGGGAGTGCGGTTCTCCCGCGGGAGCGCCCTTGCGGGGCTGCGCACACCCCGGGGATGCTTCATTTAATCATTTGTGCTTTTAAATGGTTGAAGCAGCTCAGCAAAAGAAGGGCAGCGAATGCGGAAAGGGGGGTTTATTTGTTGTTTTTAATTATTTTTATTATTTTTGCTTTATTTTTTGTTTGTTTGGGGTTGAGTTTTTGGGGGTTTTTTTTTGTTGTTGTTGTTGTTTTTTCCGGAGGAAGGGTGGTATTTAACATATGGCACTCGGTAATCTCTACACGGAGGCTGTTAAAACATCTGCTGCCTCCCAACGCGTGCGGCAGCGCCCGTGGGCACGGGGGCAAGGCGAAAGGGGCATCTCGGGCACAGCCGCGCTTCCCAGGGCCGGTGTTTCCCCGCTGGAAACGGGCACCGCGCATATAAAAGCTGTCGCACCGGAGGAAAGAGTTTGTCTTTTCTTTTTTTTTTTTTTTTTTTTCTTCCCCCCCGCAGATCGACGGCACCTCCTCGTGCGGAGCTGGCACGCTTCCACTTATTGATATAGGGCGGGTGTTTTCTGTTTCCTGACGGGACACCCCCGCCGTGCACACACACACAGCGAGGTGGCCCTTGGCGGCTCCCCCGGCTGCCGCCCCATCGCGGGGTGCGGGGGTGCCCCCCGCATCCCTTCCCCGCCGTGCCCCAGACATCACCCCACTTCGGAAAGTCGGTGCCGGACAATTAGGACACCCGTTGTCCTCTCCCCCCCCGCCCCGAAACCCACATAAATCACAATCGCTGCATTGTCGGGCTACAAAGCCAGACGGGAGCGCTTATGAATTTAAGTTTGGAGAAGGAAAACGTGCGCTGACACAACACGCTCCCTGTTCACAGGAGTAGCCAGGAAGGGGAAATGAATGGTGGAAGTTAAAGAGCCTTTCATTGCGGAGCGCGGCGGGTCCCCGCTCACCGCCCTCGACGGACGGCAGGGGGGTGCCCCCTCCGCGCTCCCTTCCTTCGCCCTCCCGAAAACGCGAGCCTTGCCAGGCAAAGCTCAGCCCGATTGCGCCCCCGGTAAGCCCGCGGCTCGGGGGGTGCGGCTGCGAGGGGCCACACACGGTGCCCGGCGGCTCCCGGCCTTTCGCGGACGGGACGAGGGGGCGGCGGGGACGATTCTGCGGGAAGATGCTGCTACTCGACCCGTCCCGGCTTTATCGGGGGTTGGGGGCGGCGGGAGGAGGGCGGACCGCACTCCCGCTGGGCTTTTTTTGGTGGCCAAGGAGCCCTTTGCTCCGACGGGCGTCCCAGCCGGTTTGTGCCAAGGAAGCCTCGCCGCTTGAGTCCGACGGGAGTCGGTAAAGCCGGTCCCACCCCTCCCATCCTCTTGGATGCGGAGGGGCAAGGGCTGGCGTGGGAGGGGGCAAGTGTGCCCACTCGCGGGCATCCACGGCCGCTCGCCCCGTTTGCCCCCCGGCGCGGCTGCCGGGACCGGGACGCGCATCCAGGTGAGGGGGCTGCCCCTCTTCCCCATCCCTCCGGAGCTTGCCACCGACGCCGGGGCATCACGCCTCCTTAAAATATAATCTGCCCGGTAACAATCAGCGCGCAGCGGCGAGAGCCCCAGAGCCATTGGCTATGCAAATAGCGGGAGGGGAAGCGGCGCCCCAAACTCCCCCCCCTCGCACTTTTAAGGCGGTATTTCGGTGTCTGCCGGCCCCCCCCGCCTCCCTTCCAGCTCAGCCAGCCCACCCTCCGTGCCGCCCAGGGGCGGGGGCCGCGGGGCGGCCGCTGCGGGGACCCCGCACGCCCGGGCAGCGCTTTTTCCCCTTCGGGAGCCTCCGCTCCGGGGCAGCCGCCGGAGACTCCGCGGAGCTGACACATTTTGCAGCTCCGACCGAGTGCGAGCAGGGTGGAAGTCACCCGGTGCGGGACATAACCCCTCTCACCTCCCCCTCCGCTCCCCCAGCCAACCTTTCTCCCTCCTCCCTCCCTCCCTCCTCCGCTGGGTTTCCTAGAAAGTTATATCAGTGTGGCCATGCAGCGCTAAGGCGGTTCGCGTGCTCGAAACACGTCCGTGTGCCGCAGGAAGCAGAGCGGTGGTGGTTAGATTGCACCCTAAAAGGCGCCACGGAACCCCCACCCCTCAAACAGTGTTTTTGTTTGTTTCGTTTGTTGGGGTTTTGTTTTGCTTTGGGGTTTTTTGTTTGGTTGGTTTTATGGGTCCTGTCCCCCCTCCGGCTGCAGATTAAGGAGGTGTCGGAGCGGGGAGGGCGAGACGGGCACCCCGCTATGCCAGGACGTTTCAATACTTCGCCCCCACCATCCCTCTGGGTACCCACGGGAGCCCCACAGTTCCTCGCCATGAGAGGGAATAGATTGGGACGGGCTCCCGCAGAAGGAAAAGTGTGGAGCGCATTTAATTTGGTTGCTGGAAGGAAGAAAAAGAGAAGCTGTCATTCGTGTGTGTGTGTGTGTCCCTATACGAGGGCCTCCTCGTTCCTTGTTAGCTTATAGAGAGGGGAAAAAAAAAAAAAAAGCGTTTGATGTTACGTCTGACCAGCTGCTGTTCTCCATAATAACAAGAGAGAGAGAACTGCCTGCCCTGCCGAGTTGCGTCACTTCGCTTCAACTTTAGGCTAGAAATCAAGAGAGAGGGAGAGACAAGTTTCAAGGGAGGCAGGAGCGAGCTGGAAAGCCCTGTCTCCTCCCACCCACCTACCCTGTCTTCCTCCCACCCACCTACCCCTCCTCCTTTACCCCTCTCCTTTCCCCACCCCTTTCCCCCCCCTCCAAAAAAGAAAAAAAAAAAAAGGGAAAAAAAAAAGAAAAAAGAAAAAAAACCTTTCCCATCAGAGAAAGAGGGAGATCTCTTTGGAAACATGGAGCTGCTGTGCTGCGAGGTGGATCCCATGAGGAGAGCTCTGCCCGACCCGAACTTGCTCTACGATGACCGCGTTTTGCACAACTTACTAACCATAGAGGAGAGATATCTGCCCCAGTGCTCCTACTTCAAGTGCGTCCAGAAGGACATCCAGCCCTTCATGAGGAGGATGGTGGCCACTTGGATGCTGGAGGTTTGTACACCCTGGGAGCGATGTGGGGGGAGGCAGAGCGGCCCCGTCCCCTCTCCCCCTGCAGCCCCCTCGCCCCTCCGCCCGCCGTGGGGTTCCTTCTTCTTCCTTCCCCCCCGCTTCCTGAGCTCCCCCGGTGCGGGAAGGGGCGCGGGGGGCACGGGCAGCCCGCGGGGGAAGTCGCCCCTTCCGGGGGGCTCCGTGGAGCGGGTGCAGGAGAGGGGAGGAAACGCGGCGTGCTGGGGATGGGGGGGTGGCGGTGGCGGTGGGTGAGTTGGAAAAGTCATTTGCAATTAAAAAGCAAAGCCGCCTCCGGGAGCGCTTGAGTTCGAGGCATTCCTGGGAAAAGCGAGCTGCGCCCGGGGCAGGGCGAGGGTCGGGGGGTGCCCCCCGCGCTCTGCCCGGCGAGGCTTCGGTGCCCACGTATGCACTGGGGAGGACGTGCCTGCTCCTCGCCATGTTGCGCTGCATGCGGGCTCCGCTCGCCGCCGCCGAGCCCGGCTTCCCCCCCTTTCCTCTCCCAGGGGGTCGGGAATGCCCCCCCGGGCCCCGCGGAGCGGGACCCCCGTGCTGTCGGGGTCCCGTCGGGCGGGCGCCGAGCCCCCCGCTCGCCCCGGTGCTGCCGCGGGCCCGGAGCCCCGCAGCCCCGCCACCCATCCTTTGCCCCATGGCATCTCCTTCGGGGGGCACCTTTCCCCGTCCAGACCCCGCGGGTCGTAAAGACCAGGCTCCCCGCTTGGTTTTCGTGTGAGATTTGTCGCTTTTCTCCGCGGCGCCGATTTTTGGTGAATTTTTGAAAGAATTTCGCCCCTCGCTCCCTGCGCTAAAAGGATCCAGGCGGCTCGGGCTCTCCCCACCCCACCTCGCCCTCGCTGTGTCTCTCCCGTCCTTTCCCCCCCACCGCGGGATCGGGGGCGCGGGGCCGGGGGACAACACGCGGGGGAATTTTTGCAATTGTCGGAAACGATAGGGGAACGTCCCGGGATGCCGCCGGCCCCAAAACCGGGACCCCTGGGGATGTTTTGATATTTTTTATCGATTTTTTGAAAATATGACGAAATAAAAAAAGGGAAAAAATTGGGTCGCAAAAAAAAAAAAAAAAAAAAAAGTCGGAGGCTGCTCGCTTGCTGCTGGATGGGGCTTTTCGGCTCTCCCACACAGTGTCTTGAATTCATTTCTTACTGAATGAACTAAAGGAATGTGAAAGCCGATTGACAGCCTTCCCAGCCTCTCCAGAGATCTCCCCCTCCCCCAAAATTTAGCTCCCCGGGAAACAAAAATAGCAGGAGGCAAAGCAAGGGAAGGCAGTGGGCTTGTTTCGTGGGTTCACTCATTTATTTATTTTTTCCTTCTTGTCTCTTTTCTCTCTTCCGACCCTTTCTATGCCCCCCACCCCCCCCTTCCGACCCCATCCATCCCTCCCCGCGCTCCTCGCCTGCAGGTCTGCGAAGAGCAGAAGTGCGAAGAAGAAGTTTTCCCTCTGGCCATGAATTACTTGGACAGATTCTTAGCTGTGGTGCCCACTCGGAAGTGCCATCTGCAGCTGCTGGGGGCAGTGTGCATGTTCCTGGCCTCCAAGCTGAAAGAGACAATCCCCCTCACAGCCGAGAAGCTGTGCATATACACGGACAATTCCATCAAACCCCAAGAGCTGCTGGTAAGCAGCCCCCTTGTCCTTCTTCTTCGGCAGCGCCGGCGTCGCCTCCCTGCCCTTGGCTGGCACCCATCACTTCTTGCCACCCACCCCCTCCTTTTTTTTTTTTTTTTTCTTTTTAAAAAACACGCTTTTCCCAGGTTTCTGAATGGCCAGAAAGCACTACAACACTCGGGGGAATGGGGTGAGGGGGTGTCAACCAGAGTGACGGGGGGGGGACACACACACACACACACACGGGGACATCCCTGTCCTCGGAGTGGCCGTGCCATGCGGCGCTCCCACCCGCTCCCCGCCTCGTGCGGGGAGCCCTGTGGTTGGCGGGGTTGCCGTGGGGGTGCTGAGGTTGGCGGGGGTATCCCGGGGTGTCCCGGGGTGTCCGGGGGTGTCCGGGGGTGTCCGGGGGTGTCCGGGGTGTCCCTTGGGTGTCCCTTGGGTGTCCCTTGGGACACCTCGCCGGGCGCACGTGCGCGGGGCGGGCAGCGCCCCCTGGCGGCAGCCACGCGGCCGTGCCGGGAGCGCGCGGGGGCGGCTCCCGCAGGAATTCCGGGGGGGATCCGCCTCGGGATGGACGTGGGAACGGCCGGCCCCGCTGCCCCGAGCGCTGTCCCCAGGCAGGTGACACACGTGTGTGCATGAATGTCATCCCCAGAGAGGGTGGAGCGGGCTCTGCCCGCAGTGGGACAAGAGACCGCGGGCAGGAACTGATGCCCGGGAGGTTCCACCTGAACGTGAGCAAGAACTTTGCTCCTGAGCACTGGAAGAGATTGCCCAGTGAGGGTGTGGAGTCTCCCTCACAGGGGATATTCCAGAACCCTCTGGAGGCGGTCCTGTGCCATGTGCTCTGGGATGGACCTGCTGGAGCAGGGAGGTGGCACCAGATGCCCCACTGTGGTCCCTCCCAGCCTGGCCCATCCCGTGTTGGTTAAACCGCCCTGTGCCTGATGCTTCTCCAGGGAGGGCTCAGCCCAGACAAACTGATAATTATTGAAGGGAATAACTAGTAATTGTTGAAGAGAATAACATTTACCTGGTGGTGCGGGGCATGCACAGGAGTTCCTTGGTGACATGGATGCTCTATCAGAGAGATGCAAGTAGCCATCCATCCAAATCCCAGGAGAATTTCTCCTGTGAATCACTGAGAATTTAAAGAGATTCACATGGCCATCCGAATCCCAGGAGAATTTCTCCTCTGAATCACTGGGAATTCCCCCTGGGGAGGGGCTGGGAGCTTGTGCTTCCTCAGAGTGAAGAGCCTTGCCCTGCAAAGGCTGCACACTCATGGACAGGAGTTGTCCCCTTGGTAGGATGGGCTGTCAGGGGAAGTGCTGTGGTGCCCAGAGGAGAAGATGCAGAATGATGTCCCTATTACTTTGTAGGATTGTAGCCATGTAGATTTAGGCACGTGTTTGAAGTGCTTCCCTGTATTCAGTCCTTTAGGTTTACTGTCCCGTGTCACATCAGAAATATTGGGAAGAGCAGTCTTTAGTCCACGTAATTGCCGTTACGTTCAAACATTTTACAGGTTTTCTTGAGGAAGGGGAAAAAAAGAATCCCCACCTGCTTTTTGTGGCCTTTTGCATACGTGTGGATGTGAGACTTCTCAGGCTGTGGAGGGCTCTGTCATAATCCAGTAGGAATGTCCGTAGGGAAGTTAAAGTGGGCATCTATTCAGGGAAACGGCTGCAGAAATGGCATTGTGGGGTCCATGTTTATGGTTTCTCGGCAACGCCGGTTGACGTCTCCTCGGCTGCAAAGTTAAAGGACTTGCTTTTCAGCCTGCCAGCTCCACGAGCTCAGCTGGGGCTGCCCCGCCAGGCCGGGCTCCGTGGGGATCCCGCATCCTCGGGACGCAGGGATCAGTGCGTGGGATTCGGGGAGCGGCAGAGAGCTGGTGGATGAGACAGCCAGCGAGTCGGGAGGCCTGAGCTTTTGTTCGCTGTGTGGGGCACTGAAAGGTGCTCAAAACTCGGTTTTTAGTTTGGGTCCAGCCCTGCTCGAAGCCCTGTGGCTGGATCTGGTGGTCGGGGCGCCATTTCCACGTGGAATCCTGTGGTGGGGAATGACCAGGAGTTACACACACACCCAGTGTTTTCCTTCGGTTTCACTGGGAGTTTTGGGTGTGCAGAGAACGTGGGAATGGATCCTGCATGATTTACTGGCAGGCAGTTTACACAGGCCACTTCTTGGCTGTGTTGTGTGCGTTGCCTTCCTGCAAAGCTTGCCTTGGAGTAGTCTTAAGCACCATCAGATTCATCTGCAGGACATTTTGAATACAGTTTTGGGAGGGAATGCCATCAAGCTGACTTCCCCAGTTTTGAAAAAGAAAAAAGGAATGTATATCTAGGTTATTTTTGTGCATGGCTATCCCTAGGGCTTTAAATGGCTATAAAGAAAGGACTATAGCCATTTAAAAGAAGTTACTAGGAAAGGACCACAGTGACCTTGGCAATATCTAGTTGCAGGCTAAACTTTCTGGGTGGGCATTCAGCACTGGATGCAAAAAAAAAAAGTAAAACCTTGGCAGGAGCTGCCAGGTCTCATTATTTTCAGTAGAGCTTGACATTTCTGGTGTTTAAAGAAAAAAAAGAATATAAAGTCAACAACTTCAAAGCAGTAGAGGCGTATGGAAAAAAATGGTTTGAGCAAAACCAACTTAGCAGTGATAAAATTATAATCAGAGAAATAAGTGAAGTAAGGTGTGGGGGGTTTTTTTTAAGGATTGCTTATGGCTCTTCTTCTCTTCTTCCCATCCTCCTCCTGCAGGAATGGGAGCTGGTGGTGCTGGGGAAGTTGAAGTGGAACCTTGCAGCCGTCACCCCCCACGATTTCATCGAGCACATCCTAAGGAAGGTGCCCCTCCCTAAAGACAAGTTGCTTTTGATCCGGAAGCATGCACAGACCTTCATTGCCCTTTGTGCAACAGGTAGGGCTGAGGGGCTCTGGGTGCCTGCTGTGAAGCTGAAAGGGCAGGTTTGTTACTGGTGGTGCCACCATCAGCTCCATCCGTACACAGTGTGGGAGCAGCTGCTGAATCCCACGGGACTGCTGGCAATCAGGCCCCCCTTTTCTGTGTAAAACCAGAATTCCTGCAGTGGGGAGCTGTGGTGCAATTGCAGTCCTGCTCCTGCAGTGCCTGTGCAGTGAAGTCTGTAAGGCTGGGTTAGACCACAGTGTTCCCTGCCTTGCCCAGTCACTGATTATTTTAAAGATTGTTTGTAAGGACAGGTGTGGGACAGCCAAAATACTGGAAGCTGTTACAGTACATTAGCCCAAAATGTATTAGGCTAATGCATTGCATGCATGTGTTCTTAAATTTTTCACTAACTGGACTCTGTCCAGATAAAAGGTAAAAATCATCATTTAGCGTGTGTGATATTACCCTGAAACACAGGGAATATGATATTACATCCCTGAAACATAGGGAATGACAATTCAGAAGATAATGACTTTTGATAGTTGCTTCTGTGGAAAAGGCGGCTTTTTAATTTATACCTGTCTGCAGAAGCAGTTTTTGTTTGTTTGTTTGTTTGGGTTTTTTTGTTGCTGGGCTTTTTTTCCCTCAGTGAATTTTAGAAAATAAGTGTGCTCTTAATTTTCATCCAAAGAGTTAACGGTAAGACCATTTTTTGGAAGCCAGACCTGGAACATACAGACAGCATGCAGTGCTTTCCAGAGTTTGAGTTCAGTAGCTTGACATACCTAGTCCTTTGTGATAGCAACTGTTCTGCTTCTGTGTTTGCAGAGAGGAAAGGAAGACTGGGTGCAGCTTTTGGGTTTGACTGTCTGCTGCTGCTTCTTGCTATTTAAGATGTAGTGAGTGCTTTTACGATGTAGGCCTGTTTTTCCTGCCCCTGCTGGTCAGTTTTAGAGAACTGTGTGTGAGCTGTGTTAGGGTGATTGATCTTCTGGTTACCAGGATGCTCAAACTTTCCCTTCTTTTCCCTCTGCTCCATGATCCTTTCCAGACAAAAGGCCACAGGGCTCGATAGAAATATCACTCAGATTCTGCAGGATCACCCCTGGTTATTGATCAGCCATTTCAGACTAATCAGCTTTATACTTCAGCATTAATATGTTTGATCAGCTTTGACTTCTTTCTCTGCCCCCTCCCCTGACTCGTGATTCATTCACAGTGCCTTTCCCGCGGACATTTCCCTGGATCCTCACACCACCATCAGCCTCCAACGCCCCTGCGTGTGCTCTTCCAAACCAGGCCAATCTTCCCTCTCCTGTGTTGCTTTCACTTCCTACAAAAGTGTTTTGGTTTGTTTTCTTTTATCCAAGAGGACATTTTCTTTCAAGAGTGCCCTAGAATTTCATTATGCTTTAACTTGTCAAATTCTGGTCTGTAATCCTTTGCCCTTGAAGTTTTCCATAAAACCAAACCATTGCAAGACCGTGGGCCACAAAAGAGCCTCCCAAGTCTGTGTTTTCTTTCCACTCCATGAATTCTCTGATAGTTAGCTCCATGCTTTAGTAGTCCTTTCACTGAGATCCAGACTTTCCATCCTTTAAGCCCAGTCATGCAGTTGTCTCATGTGTTTCCCCCATGTGATCTGCCTCTCATGTTATATGTCTCCAGTGCATGAAGTCCTTTACACAGAGTTTAAAGAGGCAGCAAGTCAAGAGTTTATTGCAAATAAAAGACATAATTCTGCGTACAGAGCTTCCCAAAAATCAGGGCACCGTGGTGCTGGCTGTAGGTTTTCTTATATTCTCATCCCATTTTGCACAGACCACAGCATTGGCATTTAGTTTTGAGGAGGACCCCCAAGCCTTTGCCCTTTTGAAAGCAGAGGTCTTACCCAAGCCCTCACTCCCACATTCTCAGTTTTACCAGCAAACTCCTACCCCCATTTCCATTGTAGAGATGTTGTTACTACTGTGTTTCCCTTTCACTGCCACTCTTTGAAGAAAAGCCCTTTCTCATCTGACTTCCTTCCAGATCCAGTTGTCATTTCCTTTTCTTGTCCTGTTTGTTGCAGAGCTCTCACCGGCTGCTCTGTTTCTTCTTTCTCTTTCTCCCTCAAAGCTGCTGCTCTCCACCAGCTTGGGTTAAGCCTGGTGTTTCATTTCCCCATTTGCCTTCTGTCAGCAATATGACCTCCTTTGACATGTGGCTGGCTCTTCCCTTGCTCCCTCCGTGTGTGTTTGACTCTTTGCTGTTCCCAGACCTCACCTCTCTGCCTGGCTCACAGCTCTGGTCTGGAGCACAGCAGTGAATCCTGATTCATCTCAGCACAGCTTTCTCTGCTGTCAAGTACTTTTTCTTTAGTGTATCGTGTGAAATCTGGCATATTTTGAACTTTTGTTCCTCCAGCCTGAGTTCTTCTTCAGCACCTGCTCCATTTGAATTTCCCAGCAAAAACGTTATACCCGAAATTCCAAAGTGTTCCCTGCCTGTACAGAGCTGGCTGTGGTCTCAGTCCTGCAACACTTTGTGTCAGCAAACAGAGAGGGAAGCAACCATGAACAGTTACTGGGTGTTCTGCTGGACGTGTAAGATCAGTTTGATACTCATCTCTATTCTCCTTTCCCTTTGAAACTCCCTGAAAAGGAGATGATAACTCAGTTCTTCTGCGTATTCCTCTCAGTCGTGTTTGACCATTTTGGCACTCTCTCCCTTTCTCTGCCTTTATTTTGAACCCAGTTCCTGAAACAAGCTGCCTGGATGTAAACCCACAGCCTCTCCCCAGTCCTTGCAGTGATTAATGATTCACATGAGCATGACTGAAACTGGAATGTATCCCTCTTTGCCCTTGGTCCCATCTGAACACACGGCTGCTGAGCAAGACAGAGGCTTGTTCCCTGAATAAAAACTCTTCTCCTTCTGCTGCCCTGCACTTACAGTGGTTTCAGGGGTCTCATGAGAAGGGGGTGTAAGCAGCATCCACCCCCAGCCCAGGTGATGCTGCCAGCACCACGGCTGTGCAAACAGGGAGCTGGTACTGGGAGAGAGCTGATCTGCTGGCTGGGAATTGCCCTTGTTTAAGGACAGCTGTCTTCCAGCCACCTTGCTCACTGCACAGTAAGGGTGTGTACATTGACATTATGCTCTGGCATAGCCTGGACCTGTCACCCTGTCATTTGTTTTCTCCTCCCACTGGTGGCTCCCTGTGCAAGGTAAAATCTCCCTCAGGAGGCTTCTGAAATTTAGAGGCACTAAGAGGCTGCATTTGGAGCCTTTGTCCTTACAATGTGGCTCAGCAAACGTGATGCCTGCTGCTGCTTTCTTACAAGGAGAGACTGCAGGAGCTGGGCCTGTTTAGTTCAGAGCAGAGAAGGCTGAGAGGGGATCTCATCAATCCATAGATTTTTATATCTCTAAGATGGATGCAAAGAGGATGGTACCCAGTGACAGGATGAGGAGTAATAGCCATAAACTAAAACACAACCACCTCAGCATGAGGAAGAACTTCTTCACACTGAGGGTGGCAGAGCCCTGGAACAGCTGCCTGGGATTGTAATGGAGTCATTCTCTTTGGAGGTGTTCCAACCCCACCTGGACACATTCCTGTGTCACCTGCCCCAGGTGACCCTGCCTTGGCAGGGGGTTGGACTGGATGATCTCCAAAGGTCCATTCTAACCCTAACAATTCTGTGATCCTGTGATCCTGTGAGGCTTCAGCGTGGGAGCATCCTGTTTATCTGTAAGCCCTATGGAGATGTCCTTCTCTGCTCACTGGGATCGTGTTGCTTTTCCACTTTGCCCACACCTCCATCTGTCTGTTGCTTTTCACCCTTCATTCCCCCTCTGCCTCTTTGCACAGCACTCCACAGTTTGGAAGTGTTTTCTCAGGGGTTGTCCGTGTGCCTGTGCTGTGCTCCAAGCCAGGAATCACTCCTAGAGGAGTGGGAGAGGGCAGTGGTGAACAGGGGGGTGTGTGGAACATGCCACACTGCTGCTGAAGAGAGAACCACACACTGTTTCGTTGACTTCAGAGTGCCCTTCATTTCTTTTTCTGCCATCCTGCCCAGAGTCACAGATGCACAGCTGCTTCCTGGGGTTCCACTCTCTTCTTGGAGGCTGCACATGCGCTGGTTTGGTGCAGGATACCCCTGTCTGTGTGAGGGCCTGTAAGGGCTGACGGGTTTTGGGGAAGGACAGGCTTTCAGGGAGAAGAGCTGCCTGTTTCTGAGCACGAGGTGTGATGGAGAGACTCATCTCAGTGAGGAGCTTTGCAGGGTTTTAGTTGAGTGCTGTGCAAAACTTGGAAGGAAAAATCTTTGCAGACTTGCAGGGACAGAAGGCAGCTTATGTCAAAGCCTGGAGTGGACCCTTTGCATGGTCTGTTCTCTGAGTTCTGCAGCAGGTAGGATGTTCCCATCGTGGATGCAGTGCAGCACCTCAGACCAGGAGCTTTCAGAGCCTGTGTCAGTGAAGGGACTAAGAAAGGGTAGGAAAATTTCAGCTTGAAGTCAGTTCTGTACAGTGTGCCAAACCTCTGCCCACTGTCTCTGGGACATTAATCATCTGCACCTGAAAGCTGAGAAGCCTTTTCTTTAACTTCTGGGCCAAATCCTGTGTCCTTCACAGAAGTGCTGTGGAAGTCAGTGGGGGTGTTGTCCGAGCAGAGGCTGCAGGACGAGGCCCACAGCCCTCGCAGTGATCTGGAGGTAACCACACAGAATGCTCTGTAACACGAAGAGGCATGTTTGGTCCCCAGGACTCCTGCTGGGCAAGCCTGCTGTGCATCACCTTCTCAGCCACTGGGAGCTCCTGGGCTCTGTCCCGGGTGCGTGGTACGAGTTTTATTTGGGACTCGTTCTTTGCAGAGGGAAAGAAAGAAGTCTGCAGGGGCTTCATTGTGTGAATTAATCTCTCTGGAAATGAAATGCATGTTGCAAAGGGGCAGTGCTTGCACAAATACTCATATTCTTGCGTGGCAGAGGGAAGAACAATCCAGATGAATTTATTGCTGT